GTGTATACACATACACTGTATATAGTGTGTGGCAGGGTGTGTTCATGTAGACTTTAAACTAGTTTTCTTTTCTTTTATTTTTCTATAATTAAAAAAAAATCAAAAGATATCCAAATGTACTGAATTTGTCCATAATGCTGGGCCCGACTAGACATCCAGGAATCAGACTTTCAAAGCAATATAAAAATTTTACTGGAGGAGTCATTTTTCAATAAGAACAACTTGTATTGCCCTTCATGTACAGATAATATCACTCGTCAAGTAAATTTCCATTAACATCATAAGGAATTTTGTTTGGGTTCATTATAGTAGTCAACCTAGTAAATTGGTCATTTAAACTTTTATTTGCAGTTGCCTTTTGAGTACAGGGGTTATTTACCTGACAGAATCAGGAGTTCAATGATCTCTGCATCTCCCAGAAACGCGGCCACATGAAGGGGAGTTCGTTTCTCAGAATCCTAAAACAAACAATGTCAAAGATATACAACAGGTCAGTGGCAGCTGGAGGTGCCTTTTGTAGACATACATAGTTAAGATGTGTCATTCACTCTGAGGTTGATGCTTGTAGAAGAGCGTGAAGGCCAAACGCCTAACCAGGTGAATTCTGGTTATACATTTTCTCTCAGCATGCCCTACAGTCACACTCACAAAGGATTCCATGCTCTGTCTGTGCATAGTATTTGCCTACCTGCTGAAGCCCAGCTCAGGTCAAGGATGGACTATCATGCATTGAATGATGAATTTCAATTTACAATATTTTTAAGCCTTCAGTATGGTAAAATAAAATAAAACGTGTTCAAACCCCTCTAACCTGCCTTAGTAACACAGGTCAAAGCTTTCAATGATTTATTTTCTTTCTAAGGGAACATAGTGGAATGGTTCACGAGGACATTAAACATCAGTATAGTCATTTTCTCATTTCAATCCTCATTAGCTATTGCCTAGACTACTGCGCATTCGTGCAATACTTACTGAGTGCCTACTCTGTGCCAGGAACCAAATTCTGAGACTGCAACTTACATTCAGGTGGGAGGCTGACGATAGTCAGGTAAATAAATGACACACGAATCACTTTAGATAATGATACAGGCTATGACAAAATTAAAACAGGGTATGGGATTAAGAGATTGGGGAGATGGGAATAAGAGTGGTCAGGTAAGGACTTTCTGGGGATGTTGACATTTAAGCTGAGAGCTGAGGTAGATATTACCATCTTTCTTTTATAGATGAGAAGACTCTGTGGCTCAAATAAATTCAGAAATTTCCTCAAGACTCCAGATAGATAGCAGAGCCAAGATAGGACCTTCACCTGTCAGACTCCAGTCTGCGTCCTTGGCAAGGCATTTAACACACTGTGCTGAGAGGCAACATGGTAACATGCAAGGCAAAAAATATTGCTTCCTAATCTACAAATTGGAGATAATAATATCTACCTTAGAGGACTGATAAGAGGAACCAAGATAATGTAAATAAATAAAGCCCTAGGCAAGCAGGAGACAAGTGCACACAGCCATGCTCCATGCGTAGCCATTATGTCACCAGCAGAGAGAGTTGTATGGTATCTTCCCTCCAAGACTGAAAACTCCCTTGAGTAAAGAACAACTCTTAGTCCTCTTTCCCCATAGTAGTAGCATACTAGGTGCTCAGCATAATTGGCTGAACTGAACTAGTTTAAGTGAATGGCCTCTTCCGCAAACTCTCACCGACTACTCCATAGCAATGGGGACCAAAGCCTGTATGCTACATCTTTAAGGTTTCTCCTAAAACTAGCATGCATGTTAGTTTTGAGATTTTTGGATTCGCTGTTGATTTTAATCATCATTCCTGTTGTCTTGATTATACAATCAACCTAACAACCCTTGATTAGCCCGAGGATATTATTCTATTTTCTGATGGTCCAGGCCCTCTGCCTCTTCCTCTGACTCGTTCACACTATTGCTTTCAGGCATTTCATGACTCACTAATATCTAAAACAGATGGCAGGCAGGGGACATGACAAGAATTGATCTTCAAATCAGTCTATTTGTTAGAACGTCTGGTGAATAGGTTTTATGAAGGGATAAACTAGCATTAAGTGGATAAAAAGAGGAGTTAGAATTAGCTGGAAACTTACATTGTCTGTGTATGGCTGCAGGCAATTAATATGGATGAGTGGAAATATTTAATAGAAGTCATGCAACTACAAAATAATGATATGTATTGGAAAATTCAGTAAGTTATAAGACCATGATCAACCCTATTATAGCTACATCACCCTATCTTTGAAAATAAAGATTCAATATTTGAAAAAAAAAGATTCAATATTTGAAAATGTTTGCTTATTTGAGAATCAAGTGTATTGATTTGTGCAATGAACTATACAAAAGACTAAGATCAGACTTTCACAAATGTTTTCTATTTCTTCTACTGATATCCCTACAAGCATTTTCTATTTTAGCCTCATATTCCCTTTGAATTCTCACTATATCTACTTAAAAATTTCTCTTGGGATTCTGGATGAAAGTTATATAATTATATGTTCTTCTGGGGAATGAATTAGTTCCAGGATTTAGTTCAATAAATTAAATCTTGCCTAAATGATTTAAACAGGGACTATTCCAGCCTGAATTATGACTTCATTTGACCTGAAGCAAAAGTCCATGCTCTGTTTAAGGCTTTGGCCTCAAATAAAAAACGAAGAAAACTCCAACATCCCTCCCTGCCTTGCAACTCTGGTTGGCCTGTTATTACATGGGCTGGTTTTGCTGATTCTGTGGCCCCTTTTATGACACAGCTTGTTCAATCCAAAATTTCTATAACATAAAAAGGGTGTGTTCTATGAGATCATATTGTAAAACTTCTTGATTATAAATCTCAGTGTTCCTATTAATATGTCCTGGTAGCTTCCTGGAAAACTATGCCAATTGATACTCTCCTTCAGTGACATGGCACAGACAGGTAACTGAAGAGAAGACCTGTATTTGGGCAGCAGTCATTTAGTTCTCCAAAGTGGCAGAACCATATAACAAGTTAAGTTAAGGAGTGAGTTAAGGGGTGAATGACGTAGCCATAGTAATCACCATGCTCAATTTGGTAAAATCAGCCCAGAGGCTGCAGTACATCCTCTCTGCCTAAGTACAAGGGCACGGTACTTTGTCATAAGGTAAACTAATGGAGTAGGAGATGCAATGGGAGAAGTAGGGTGAAGGCTCTAGAGGAAAGAAAATCCTAGTAAGAATATCAGCAAAATTGAGTTTGAAGCCAATGACATCCTTAGGGTGTCTAGAAGAAGAAGAAACAAATCTACCTGGTAAGTATGGAGTGCTTTTATTTATTTATTTATTTTTCAAAATACCTTCTCATGCATTTTACTACTTGATCTCATAGCATCCATATCAGGGAAAACACACCTTTACAACTGTGTTCTTAAGTCTTATTATCATCATTTAAAAGATAAGGAATCTGAGCCCTCAGCAGCTTGTATGATTTGCCTAACACAGAAAATTGATGTCAAAGAATTAGGTGTCCCAGTTCCCAACCTGAAACTTTTTCCTTTATAAAAATGAAAACAAGAATATCATCTTAGAAGTTGCCTTGATAGTCTAAGAACCTTTCCACTATAATCCCTAAGAAATCCTGGGGGAAATGTGACAACATCCAGTAAACATCCTTTTAAATGAGTTTATAAGAAATTAAATAGAAAGGGACCAAAAATGGAGAGTAAATAGAGAACCAAAGCTGGAAGCACAAGCACTTACACTGCAGAAACCAATACACCAGGGGCTTGGGACTTAGCACTTGCCAGGGGATGGGAGGTGAGATAGAGAACTGGGACTAAGACCTTCATACAAAGAAAGACCCTGGAAGTGGTCTTGAAGAAAGACTCCTAAAGTGAAATCATGGGCTTGAAAAAAGCCAAACACTCCCATAAGCAGATGGCAAACAGATGCCTTGTCCTGGGCTCTTGGTGGGGGAATAAAACTGTCTCCACTGAACATTTGCATCCCCAGAGTCTGCCCTCTTATGGCTTGGGGTTTTGAATTTATAAGACCTGTGTAGGCCAGGAACTTTCAAGTTGAAAACAGGCATAAAAATCAGTTCTAGAGCAATGATTCCTCTTGGGTGCCTAGAAGTACAAAGAAAACCTTTCTGGAGATATGGACCCTCAATCCAGGCAAGCTGGGACAGCCACAGATTAAATCTCCAATGAAAATGAACTTACAAGCCTGAGCCACAACACTCATGTGGAAACAATTCTCCATAAGCTAGAGTCAGCAGACATAACAACCAGCAAGAACTTAAGATAACAGAAGAATCAGATGGAGATCAAGCATAATGTTTAAAATAACTGAAGACATGAGGGACAAAGCCTAAGGCGGAAAAAACACTATTTCTAAAAAACAAACAAAATTTGGGGAAGAGATATGAAGGAAGTATTATGGGAAGCAGTACCAAAATATGATGCTATAAATCATCCAAAACGTTGGCCTAAGAGGGATGAAAACTGGAAGAGCAAAAAAGGAAGGATAGGAGAAAGGAGAAATTAAGTACAGTGACTTCGGAATATGTTTTACAACTGTCTATTCAGCCATATTTTCTGGACATAGACATTTATTTAGAATCTATTATATGCCAGACATTGTGGTAGATATTAGGGAGACACAAAATTTAAAATAGCCAGTCCTTTCACCCTAAAGAAACTTACAATCCAGTTACCAGTTTCCAAATTTGGGACATTAGAATAAAAACAATAACAGGGAAGTGGTAAATAGTGATATTTACAATGTTAAATGATTTATGATACTAAATGCAATGAGACAAATGTCTTAGTGAATACTTTCCCCAAATCCACCAGTTCTGAACTGATCTAAACAGGAAGTCTAAAGTGACAAGAAAAATATCTCTTCTGAATTGAGGAATAAATGTTTAATACATATTGCCCAGGACTCCCTGGAAGCCCTACTGGCTCCAGCTCATCTGGAACCTTGGAAGCCCTTGGCCAGACTTCAGGTCAGTCTCAGAGCCTATCCTTTATCTTACAGGCTGATTTAGGGGTAGTTTCTGGATCAAAATTGGAATCCAGAATCAGGGCAAGACCAGAGGAGGATTAAGCCATAGAGGATGAGCTAAGCGCTCTGTGTTGTTTGCATTCATTTCCATCTTCTGCCCAAGTGGACTCTGTAATGACCAACAGTTGAATAGTTACATAGGTCTTTACAGCATCCATGAATACAAGAGGGGAAAATACCCCAAAAGCAAGCATAGTAAGATTAACACACACCAGAAGTGGCTCATCAACATAGTTTTTAAAGATTGTCTAAGTATCACAAAAACAAAGATCTTCTTTCATCACCCAGCAACTCTAATTCCAAATAGCCCTTTAAAAACAGATTCAGACACATGAGAAGTGAGAAGACCGGAGTTTCTCCAGAAGGAAGGAAGGTAAACACTCCCTTTCTATGAATAGCCAAAGACACAC